CGCCGTGACGTGCAGTGACCGCAATTGGCGGGCAGCCAAGGCAGTCGTTTCGCGCACCGCCCGATTGAAGAGGAAGACCGACAGGTGTGATCCACGTGTTGGGCTCGGCGTTACTCGCACGGCTCCGGTTTTCGCACTTCTGCCTTGGTTTCGGATTTAACCCATCGTGTCGCAATTTTCAGAGCTTTTCCAGCCCACGTAGCCTGTGTGCTGGACTCCTCGCATCCCACGCAAGATACCTCCCACGCAAAATATCTCGCAAACTGCAGCGCATTGCTGTTGAGACTCTTATTCTCTTCGAACGCTTCGCCCCAACGCCCTTCCCGCACATCTTGACATCAAGCTGGTGAGTCTACCTACCACCTGATTCATTCCTTTAAGACTAAACACCATCTAAAAAACTGAGATAGCGAAAAGGGGTAATTATGTAAATCTTTCCTTGTAAAGTTGACAGGTTTATATAACTGGCAATATAACGCCGATACCATTAAAAAGGTTAAATAGTAATAATCCTTGCATTTGATATGGCGCCTTATCGTCTTTTGTTCACCTGGGACCAGGGCTCCCTCTGTCTCCTTGTCCTCCTTGACCTCTCTGTTGCCTTCGACACTGTCGACCATTTCTATCCTCCTCTGCTGCCTCTCCTCTCTGCACCATCTTCACTGCTCCGTCCTTGCCTGGTTCAAATCTCACTCTTGGCACGGTCCCCACCTTGTCTCCACAAATGGTTTCTCCTCCAGCCACCGTCTCCTGCGGCGTTCCTCAGGGCTCAGTCCTTGGTCCTCTCCTCTTCAACATCTACATGCTCCCTCTTGGTGGCATCATTCGCAGACATGGGGTCAACTTCCACATGTCTGGGGATGACACCCAACTCTACCTCTCTGCCTCCACCCTTGACTACAGGACCACTGCTGTGCTGACAAAATGTCTGTCAGACATCAAGTCCTGGATAACTTTCTCCAGTTGAACATCAACAAGACCGAGGCTCTCCTGATTGACTCCCATCAGTGTCCCCACCCCTCAGACACTGCAACATCACCATCCATGGTTGCACACTCCACCTCACTGAGCCTGTCCAGACCCTTGGCATCTTTTTGACCCTCAACTGTCTTTTCTACCCCACGTCCCTGCCATGACCCACTCTGCCTTCACCCACCTCCACAACATCGCCCAGCTCCACCGCTGCCTCTCCCCTCAGGCCCCTCATCCAGGCATTCAGAACATCTAGGCTCGACTATGCTAACTCCCTGCTTGTCGGCCTTTCCAACTCTTCCCTCCACAAGCTGCAGATCATCCAGAACTCTGCAGTTCGTGTCCTCTCTCTCCCGCACCAGGCTCAGTGACCCCCCATTACCCCCTCCCTCGCCCGGCTCCACTGGCTCTCCATCCCTCAAAGGATAGAATTCAAAATCCTCATCGTCGCCTTCAAAGCCCTCCACGGCCTTCCTCCTCATTAATCTGTGATCTGCTAATTTTATACTGACCTGTTCCCTCCCTTCGCTCAGCAGGCTCTGGCCTGCTCCACATCCCCCGCCCGGCCCGCCCCACCATCGGCAGTTGGGCCTTCCTCCTCTCTGCCCCATCCTTTGGAACTCCATCCCACCGTTCCCTTTGCCTCGCTCCCTCCCTTGCCTCCTTCAAGGCATGTCTCAAGACCCTCCTCTTTGACTGCACCTTCAGTCACACCTCTACCCGCCCCGCCCTCTCTGTTTGTGCTCAACCCAAGCCTTGATGTCTGGCAAGCAAGCTGACAGAACATCAGCGGACCTGGAGTCACAGCTGGAGGAGAAGTAGATTTTCCACGTACGTGTGGCAATTTACCCCGTGTCTGCGGATGACATCGCTGAGAGGGAGCATTTAAATGAGGAAAGGAAGAGTGCCAAGGATGAGCCTTGGAGGACGCTGCAGGTGAGCCAGTGTAGGTGGGAGGAAAAACTACTAGCGGAGATAAAGTGATGGCGGTTGGTTAAGTAGGATTTGAGCCCGGCGAGTGAGCTGGATGAGGGGAGAGAGCTGCTGGTAGAGGATAACCTGATCGACTGTGTCAAATACAGCCGAGAGGTCCAGGAGATAGAGGGAGCCTGGGGGTAGAATGAATTTGATTGGAAAACAACACGTTCCAGAACTCTAGCAAGAAAAGGCAAGTTAGAAATGGGCGAGACAGCTGGACTGTGAGTTCAATGTCCCGACGTGGAGCTTGAGCCCACAACCATCTGACTCAGAGGTGAGAGTGCTACCAACTGAGCCAGGCAATACCTTACTGAGACAAAAGGCTCCAGCCCGAGGCCACTTACTAATGCCTCTGAGTGTGGAGTCCTGTAGCTCAGTGGTTAGAGCACTCGCTTTGCAAGTGAGAGACCTGAGTTCAATTCCAGGCAGAGGGCGAAACCTTGGGCAAGTTTCCTTACTCCACACAGAGCCTAATAATAATCCCTCCAAAAAGCAAAACAATAATAAATTGGTCATTTTCAATCTACGACTGTTTGTGGGACATTGCTGTGCGCAATTGGCTGCCGCATTCGCCCACAAATATACAGTCAATTCACTTTACAGTTATTCTGTGAAGCGCTTTGGGACGTCCTTCCGACGTGAAAAGCGCTATATCAAATGCAAGGATTATTATTATTATTATTAGTAAGATAGCTTATAATAATAATAATAATAATAATCCTTGCATTTAATATAGCGCTTTTCACGTCTCAAAGCGCTTCACAGAATACACTGTGAAGTGAATTGACTGTATATTTGTGGGCGAAACACGGCAGCCAATGGCGCACAGCAGCGTCCCCACAAACAGCCGTGGATTGAAGTGACCAATTTATTATTGCTTTTTTTCTTGAGGGATTATTATCAGGCGTGTGGAGTAATAGACCTCTCCCTGCAGAGAGATGACTTTGCTCTGCTTGTCAACGCACACCAATATTGTGTTTGTAAAGAGCAGCTGTTGACTCAGAGTGTCTTAAATTGAGACAAATTCAGTAAATTAATTTCAAACTGATCAAGTTTGGGTCACTTCAGGTTAGACATTAAGTTTGACGTCTGTTAGGAGTTAACTGGAATCTTTGACAGACATGAGAGAACATCACAGCGCCTCTGTAGATTGGGCTGAACAGGGAACGACAAGTAAAGAAATAAAAATCACAATAAATATTTTCTCAGGCGTGACAATGTCCTCTTTTAGATGAGACGTTAAACTGAGGTCCCATCTGTCTGTTCAGGTAGATGTTAAGAACGCTGCAGCACTATTCGAAAAGAGAAGGGAGTTTCTCCCTATGTTCTGGCCAAACATCCCTTAGATAAATTGGTCATTCACTTCAAGGCTGTTTGTGGGACTTTGTTGTGCCCAAATTGGCTGCTGTGGTCACTTACAAAATGCACATCAATACAGAAAATCCTGGGAAGTGCCTTGTGATGTCCACCCGATGCGATAAAGTGCTGTGTCAAATGCAAGGATTATTACTTTCATTGGTATTATTATTATTATACGATTGACTACACCGCTCTTCTCACCATTGTAGTTTTAGGCTCAAGTTCTGCCAAAGGACCGGGACTTTAAAGCTTCTAACTAAGTTCAGTGGGTTTTGACGATACTCAACTCAACCACTTTTGGTACAGTCCTGTGGGGGATTAAGTGATGATCCATCTGTCTCGTGTCATTGAAAGAACACTCCTTCAGGCCACACTGTTACAGTGCACGCACGTTGTAAAGAGAAGGAAAGCCTTGCGATCTTGTTTCCAAGGGTCTTACTCAGATTTATATTCATTTTAGTCTGGTGTCAACACCCATCCCCTGGTTCCGGCCTTCCACATGTTCCCCTGTGCCCTCCGTTCCACCATTGGTGGCCGCTCTTTCAGCCACTACCCCCCCCGAAACTCTGGAACACTCTCCCTCTATCCCTCCGCCTCACCCTTTCCTGCCCCATCTTCAGGTCGCGCAGGAAGAACTTCCTATTCGACGGTGTCCACGGTCACCTCTCCCTGGCTCGGAGTCGTGCTCTGCGTGACGGGCACTATATAACTGCAAGTTGTTGTTGTTGTTATATGTTTTCACAATGCCTTTTCCTGCTCACACAATGCGGACAAGCCAGAGTCATTCAAGCGATTGATGAATTTGGGGGAAAAGCAAAAATCACAATTCCAGGCACGAGCCCGTCCTAGAACCATAAGAATTTACAGCCTATTCGGCCCATCGCATCTGTGCTGGGTCTTTCAGGTCCATTGACCTGCACACATATATATATATATATACCTGTAGTTTACTCCTTTTTATAGAACTGAAGAGAACAGCGCAGTCCTGTAGCTCAGTGGTTGGAGCACTCGCCTCCAACTGTCCCCGAGCCAAAGGTGGAAAATGGTCCAATTTCCCGACGCTATTATCCTTTCCCCAGGGGAGTGGACATAAACTCTAAAGGATATCAGCTGTTGATGGAGATGTGCTGGAATTCATGATATAGACACCTTCTTTGTCCAGGCATCCAAAAGGAGCAGGAGTATACATGACCGTGGATTCATGACCGTTTTCCTCCCTTCCTCCTCCTTCCCCTCCATTCCTCCCTTCTCCCTCTTTCTTCTGTCAGGGACCGTCTCAAAACGTATCCCTTTGACTGGGCTTTCGGTCATCTTTCCCCCGCTCAATTGTGTGGAGTAAGGAAACTTCCCTGCCCGAGAATCAAACTCGGGTCCCCTCGCTTGAGAGGCGAGTGCTCTAACCAATAAGCCACAGGACTGACCCCACAACAGCAACAAAAAAAAAGTGGATTGACTGTGTATTTTGCGGGCGAAACGCAGCAGCTGATTGTGCACAGCGGTGTCCCGCAAACAGTCGTGGATTTTTTTAAAAATAATATATATTCTTGTGTACTCTCAGTTACTGTTGGGGCTGTTTTGTCGGTGGGGCAAGTGTTAAAAATATTCTTCCGGCCATCAGAAACCGAGCTAGTTTCCGACACATTGTGTGACACGTGAAGTATTTTCGGGAGAGCGAATCTTCTCCAGACGTGATGGATGATGTGCTGACGTTCATTGACCAGGAGAGGAGCACGGCAGGTCACAGGCTGGCCATGTTTGCCCGGGACCTGGGCTTCCGAGACAAGTCGCACCTCATTAGCAGTTTTGCAGGTAGTGAAGGAGACTCCAGCGGTAGATTTGTTTCAGGGCCTAACAAAGGAATCTGACAGCTCGAGTTATGTTGACAACCTCCCCTCAAAGGGAAGGAGAGTGTCATCAGGGAGAGATGAAACATGTCTGGCTGTCACCCAGCGCACAGAATAAATGAATGGCCCAGAATCTTGCCATCAGCGACAGACCCATCTGGGGGGAGAAATGGAAGAGAAGAGTTTGATGTTATAAATCACCATAATTTGTTACAATTTCTAAAGACAAATATGACAGGCTGGAATTACTTTGCAGCGCTGAGACAGTCATTTGCAGAAGCTATAAAGTGCCCGTATAAATCTTTGGATGAGATATATTTAATCTGAGAGAACAGAAAAATATCATCTCGGAGCATCCTGTTTACACAGAAATTTAGTCGCCAGGGCTTTCGGTCCTTTTTATTTTGTTACCGCTCGGCTTTTACTGAACGAAGCTTCATGTCGTCGTAACACGAATGGTCAGGGCAGTACAAGATTGTACGTAGAGCCCCGTAAGTAACTGGCTGGCGCTCCAAGGCAGTGCTCGGTGCACTGTTTTGACGGAGGTGATGTCCTTCGGATTTAAACAGAGTTATGTGAAGAGTTAAACTGCCTCTTCAGGTGGACGTTAAAGATCCAAAGAAAGGAGAAGGGGGGGTTCTCATGGTGCCCAGCCAACAACACCCCCCCCCCACCCACCCACAATGAAATTGTCATTCACTGCATGGCTGTTTGTGTGATGTTTCCGTGCACCTACGAAATACACAGTCACTACACTTTACAGTAAATCTTGTGAAGGGTTCTGAGATGTCTCAGTATGATAACACGCTATTTCAAATGTAAGGACTGTTACTAACGTTTTACAGAATATATTGTGGTTGTAATCTTTGCATGTGATATAGTGCCTCTCACGTTGGGGTAACGTCTCAAAATGCTTCACGGGGTTTTCAGTGAAGCGTAGTGACTGTGCATTTTGTAGATTCACACGGCTCCCAATTTGTATGCAGCAATTTCCCACAAATAGTCATGACCAGTTTTATTTGGGAAACTGTTAACCAGGACATTATGGGACTCGATGTTACTATTAGTAAACATTCATGCAAGACCTTCAGTTATACAGCCTGCCCTTCTTATATTAATCGGATATCAAAAACTAAACAATATTAGTAGTAATAAATAAACTTTCCATTTGATACAACCTTTATCAAGTCGGCGAAACATCTTACAGTAAAGGGCTGGTCCACAGAGATTGTGAATAATGACGTTGTTAGCAACAGCAACATCTTACGTCAATATAACGTCCTTCAAAGGTAGCGCCTTGGAGTGCTTTAACTATGGAATAGTTTGATGGAGCCGGTGAGTAAGGGGAGGTGACATAGGCACGGCCGAAGAGGAAAGTCTTCAGAAGCGATCTGAAGACGGGTAAGGAGGGAGCAAAGATGGGGGGATTGAGGCCGGGAATTCCAGAGGTTCGGGGGAGCTGTGACTCAAGGCGCGGTCGCTGACGGGGCAGCGGAGGGGTCGAGGGACACGCACAAGGCCTGAGCCAGTTAGGGGACGTGAGATGGTTGAGGCGTGGAGAAATGAGCGGGTTGGAGAGGTCTCGGGGGTGCTGGGGCGTGAAGCGTGAAGCGATTTGGAGGCGAATGTGAGGTCCGTGAAATCGATCCGTTCCAAACGCTGTTAAACCCGACGTCGTCGGCGGTTCTCGTTCAGGGGTCGAGCCTGCGTCGTCAATGGAGCTCTCCCACCGTCGCTGGGCAGGTGTTGGCGGTTCTAGAGCACAACCGTAAGAGGGAGCGCCGCACAGAGATAAAACGTACCCCCACCTCCCCCCAGAGAGGGAGGGGGAGCCTGTGTGTAGGGGTTGGGTGGGGGGGGGGGGGGTTCAATCGCTCACAGAAACAGATATGTATCTGACAATCACGGCAGCTGCTACAGTTAGCAGCTGGTGGAAAGCTTGAGAGGCCTATGCTTCCTACCCTACCAGCCTCAAGGGGCGAGTAGTTCCGACCTTAAATTATACGCAAACAAACAAACTCAATCAAAACACTACTTGAGGAACTCCCGCTCAGCTGCTTAGCACTTCGTAACTAAAAAAAAAAGATGCTGGATTTGCTGTAGCCTTCCTCCCCCGAAGATATTTGCGTTAAGTTTCCGTGTCTGCCATACGCAGACTATCTCTCCCCCCCCCCCCCCACCCCCGGGGCCGTAAACAGAGTATGTTGCTCAGGTTGTCAAATCTTTGCACCGAGCTCGCTGCTTCCTGTGCTTGAACTGTCTGGCGGAACATTATTCTCATCTGTTTTTTGTGCGCGCGCGTGTGGCGCGTTCCTCAATACATCCCGTTCCTCACGACAGGAATGAGGTTCATATATGTTTGGAAACACAGGGAGATTTACTGCCCTTCTGCCCCCTCTCCCTCCCCCACCCTCCCCACCCCCCACCCCCACCCACCCCCCTTGTAACCTCACCCAATGTTAGGATCCGAGAAAGGAGGCCCCATCCATTACATCAGATCCGAGACGACAGCCGAGCGGAGACCCACTTCCATGATGTAAAGTCACCTCTGATGTTACTTCCTGCGTAAACTGTGTGACTTGAAGTGCTCTGTACTTCTGATAACCACAGGTTGGGCAAACCCGTGCCCAGCAAGGCACTGAAATTGGTTGCCCTGTAAACCCCCCCCCCACCCCCGCGCCGCCCCCCCCCCTCCCCCCCCGTCTCTCGCTTGTAAACGTTGAAAGTGTCATGTACAAGCCACCTTGAATTCCAGCTCAGTTTGTATCACTTTGGAGCTCCAACAACGGCTGTCCAGGCAATAGTCATGGAAAACAGACGCAGAAACGTCAACTCCAATGTCGAGTTGTTTGGCTCTAGTTATTTGGGGGATGACCAAATTTATTTGGGGCTTTGTTGGCTGGGACACCGTCAGAAACTCCCTCCTCTTTTCGAATGGTGCCATGGGATCTTTAACGTCCACCCGGAAGGGGACTTCTGTTTAACGTCTCATCCAAAGGACGGCACCTCTGTTGCATTCCTCACCCCTGATAAATAATTAACCAGAGGGAGGGAGAGTGGAGAGAGAAATAAGACACAAAGCAGTCGAGCCTTCAGCTCTCTGCTCCCCACCTTTTGGAGCTCCATTCCAGAGTCCTGTCGTCTCACTCCTTCCCTTGCCTCCTTCGAGGCACGTCGCAAGACCCTCTTCTTTGACTGGGTCTTCAATCACCCTCCTACGCCTACCCTCCCCACCCTCCACCCCCTCCTGATCACAGCCACCAGCTCGGGTCCAAATCCCTGACTGTCCAGCGCCCTGGGACGTCCTCCTGACGTGAAAGGCACTACACATATGTAATTTGTTGTTGTAGTCAAAGGCGAACGTCTTGAGGCAGGCTTTCAACTTGGAAGGACGGGGTGATTCAGAGGGACTCCGGGATGGAGTTGGGGGCAGAATGGCTGAAAGCCCATCTGCTGATTGTGATTTGGATAAGGTAGAGGGCACGTAGCAGACCAGTACATACTGAGTAAAGGGAGTGGCCAGTCAGTAGAGTTGTAAAGATGGTGATAATCAGAAATATTGGGTCAAAACTGGAGGTTACTGCTATTAAGAAGTCATCGGGGTGAGGGAGGAGGGGAGGTATTTCAATCTTGTGCCTAAATAAGGAACAGGAGAATAAGTTGTTAAGGAATACAACAATTTGACCTCTTTACGGTCTCTACCCGACTTTCACAATATTCAGTCAATATCAACTGTTTGTTCTCGCCTGTGTATTATGCATAAAAAAAGTCAACCTTGAATTTATATCGAACCTCTCACAAAGAGGATTGTCTCAAATCTCTTGACGGATATCGTGATGGACACAGGGCACGGAAAAGCGAGCTTTAAAGACGTTGGCCAAAAATAGCAGGGAGAAGGAAGAGGTTATGTGGAATTTGGGCTCTATTGTTAAAAGAAAATGGCCTTCAGGATATTATGAGTCGAAACTAAAGCCTTCAGACACAAGGCAATGTGTTATTTCATAATGCTGAACCGTGTTATTATATGCAGTGTTGATGTTCAGGCTTTATCTTCTGAAATTCCGAGGCACTCTTTCACATTGTCAAGATATTCTGCGTTGACAGCGAGTCTCGAGCCCTTTGAGGTATCTTCCTGACGTGATAGGCACTGTACATAAATGTGTAATATATCATATTATATTATATAAATCCCTCCATCATGTTGGAGGCGTACTGATCTTGCACAGAGCACGGCCTGCAGAGCTCAACGGTGCAAAATGGATGGTACCTTTCTCCTGTAGCAAACGCGCTTTCGAAACGTAACGGTAATCCTCGCACCCGATATAGCGGCTCTCATATCCGGAGGACGTCTCCATGCGCTTCACAGGATTTACTGTAAAGCAGCAGTATTTCGTAGGTAGACGCAAATAATGCGCAAGCGGCCATTTACGGGAGTGCGCAAATGGGTTCCACACTGCACAACGTGTGTTGGAATCTGATGTATAATCACAGGATTCGCTGTGTTTATGTAGGTGAATATGGCAGCCAATGTGGGCCTAACAATGTCCCACAAACAATCGTCAACTTTATCTGGGGGATTGTTGGCCTCGGATTGTCGAATAGTGCCACTGGGATCCTTTAACATTCACCCAAAGAGGCAGACGGGTCCTCGGTTTAACGTCTCATCTAGAGGACGACACCTCCAACAATCCAGTCTCAGCCTGGATTTTGAGTGTAAAGTCCCAACGTGGCACTTGAAGACACCACTGACATCCAACACCCTAAAAGCCCTCGGTGGTTTCTCTGGATCATCCGAGAACAGTTCAGGAATCCCGTTAGCATTAGATGGTGCGACGGCATTTTATCAGCATTACACGTCGTTGTCATTTCCTGCTCTCAGTCATTTTACTGCTGAAACCAATTCGCATCGCTTCCAGCAGTGTAAATACGGCTTCTAATGTGCCTTTGGAAATACTGGCCTGGGAC